ATTTTGCTTATCATTACTGAACTTTTTGGAAACGGCGAGATATTTACAATAAGGTGAAGTTTGTAAATTATTATAAACAGCAATCTTCAATATTTTAATTATATTTTTCAATTCGATAATCTTTGATTGAACATTAATGGCTTGGGCCTAAGCAGTAGCAGCTTGGGCTTATAATAAGTTTACAATCGATTCGATCGATTCAAATACAGCTTGAGTGGTAGTGAAATGTGTAGTGTTTGGATTATTGAATAGGTTTGTAAAAGGAGAGATATCGGCTTTGGTGAAGTTGAGAATGTGATTCAAGAAAAGGAATTGTGGAGGTAAGTTAGATGTAGGTGTTTTTAGTATAGATACTTGTTCATTTATTTTTAATACTTTTTGAGGTTCAAAATATCGGCGGTAGGGTGTATAATGAATCAATAGTAAGTGTAATTAATGTAATCGGGATAAGGTGTTGGTAAGGCTTTAGAAATAAAATAAGAAATAAAGCTATAATAGCTTATTTGAAGATGATATAAACTGTTAAGATACAGGTAAAGATTTATATTGTACTATAAGGATAGAAAAGCTATGGAAAAGTGAAGCTCTATTTATAGAAAATAGGGCGTGCTAGTATACTATGTTTGAGGTATGAAGGCAACTACAGATCATGTAGTTGGCGCCGTGACAGATAGACAAAAAACTTTTGATAGACAAAAAAATTTTGATAGATAAAAGACATTTGGTAGACAAAAGACTTTTGATGGATAAAAGACTTTTAGTAGACTTAATGATCTTATAATATATTTAACCAAAATATTCTCTTCTACTACTGGAAGATTTTTTTTGAAGATTGTATTATCAATATATTGTTTATCTGATATTGTTTTCTATCGAGTTTTATTTATATGATTATTAGTTTGTTTATATAGATATTATTAGATAGACATCGCTTGTTTTTCTTTCGCTATCTATCTACTGAAGGATTAGTTTTTGTTTCCTTGGCGCTCAGTCATTCGATACTCAGTAATTCCTGAAGAAAATAAGTCACAGCATTTTACGTCGTGAAATTTTAACAAACGATAGTTTGAATTTGATAGCCCCGTTCCTTAAAGCTTTGATAATACAAAATTGAGTATTATCACATGAAGTAGTATGAATAGATTACATAAGAAGATCAATCTTACAGAGTGTTCTCATTCCATGAAGAAACTTTAGACTCTTAGATTGTGAAAAGGATAAGTAACATTTATTCGTAACACAAGCAACATATCCCCGCCACCTAGAATCTCTCTTAAAACTGACTCGCTTTTGTTAAAACAACGTACTTTAGATAATCTTCTCCGTCTATATGTACAATACTGGGCACTGAAACATGCTTCCCCTGAAACATACCGTTATATCTCTTTGAATACTCAACACCATCGTGGACTATCGTCTTATCATGGCGTGAGGCTTGGACTTGGGATGTTCGTAGTGGCGAAACCCCTTCTGGGCCTACAAGTGAGTCAGATGTATTGGTGGAGTTAGTTGCGTCATGGGAAATTTGCGTTTGACTTTTCGATGACGCTGGTATGTTAATCAAGGATACCTGGGTGGAGGGAGCGACAGGAACTGATTTCGACAGCAAAGCAACGTCAAGTGCAGTCGGGAAATTATGAGTTGCGGTTGTTGGATGTTGTGTTGGAGTAATGGGTGTTGTTATTGCATGCTTCTCTTTTTCGAATCTAATTCTCTTTGTTTTATGTCTCCCAAGATCAACAGAATCTTGCCTTGAGCTATATGTGGAGTGTCTTTCGAGAGAGTTCGAGGCTTGATGAGTTGTGTCCCGGGGTAATATGACTGGAATCATGTTGGTCGTGTTTGCTTCTTGGTGAGCAACAGACTCAAATCTACGAACAGTCTCCTGAGCTTCTCGAACTGCTCGGATATCATCTGCACCCGAAAGCTCGATTGTGGAGCCCGAGACATATTTGTTACGGACTTTAACATACTCCCTTCTCTCCATAACACTCAATGGTTTGAGATGAGGATACCATCTAATACTGGCTTCTCTCATCAAAATACCACGATGCTGTTGTGCACCGGGAAAAGGGCGCTCTAGAACGCCACCTCGTGTGTTTCGATTATGCACAACGTATTTGAGTATGCCGGTCTCGTCGATCTTTGCGCCAACAACGTTCTCGTCACTAACGGGGCCGAATCCAGCGGAGCCCAACCAGGTGCCGATGAGGACATCTCTTTCCTTGGGTGCTTTGCGGCTGTGTTGGCCAGCAGCAGCATTTTCGATTGAGGTTGTGTCATTGTTGTCCATTTTCTTTTCACAGCTTATTGGCCAATAAACCGATGACTTTGAGACTAGATAAATCTGATACTCTAGCAATCATTCGCTGCAAGACTTTCTCTCAAGAAAAAGTGTGAAGGAATTGTTCGAAAAGAACTTACCAAGAGAAACTATGATTCGACGAGCCAAATAATATGAATTCTAGCGATGTTGCAACAATGAAAAATTGGAAGAAAATGATCCTACATATACATCTTACCGAGTATGGAATTTCTTTTGACATCAGAATGCCTCCTACCAGGGAAAATGTTTTGTACCAATCACCTTTTTCGTGGCTCCCGGATGTCCTTATCCATCGGGTCACCACCGAATGAGTTGTCAAATCAAATATTCAAACCGCGAAGACCCTGACCATCGGAAATGGGTTGAGTTCCACTGGCGAGTTGAATGACAATTGATACATGCAGGCGAACTCCAATTCAGAAATAAGGATAGGAGCCTTACAAATCCCTGCACCCACTGCTTTGTGACCGAAAATTCTTCATTTGACCAAGTTACTATGAGCTCTGAGCACATCAATTGAATTATATCTTCGTTTGGAGTTGACGATTTGTTTGATCAGATCTTTAATAATTGTGAAATCCATCACTTGAGAATATTCTTCTTCGGGATTTGATATACTCCGTACAGTTAGTCTTAATATACTTCCCCTCAGTATGCTTCCTCTCATAGTTTGATCCTCTTTAGCATGGATGGATGTAGGAGAAAAGTGTAAGACTAAGAGCTTTTTTCAACACTAGTTGACCGTATATATTACTCAATAAAGACTTATTACAGATATAAAATTCCATGCTAAGAACAAGATATTTACTGAATAATCCTATAATAGCATGATTTCTACTATCTGATGGTGCTTATAGAGGGATAGTCCCATCAGGCAAGCGAAATGTAGTAATCGAATATTATACACCTAGTTTCTGTAATATACATAACCGTGCACCAAGTAGTGTAATTGACGAGGCTTCAAGTCGACAGATCAACTTGATGTACACGCTTATGCTTCTAAAAGTTTTCAGGGTAAGAAACTTGAGAATAAATGATGAGATTCCATCGGATACATACCGCAGTCAGCCCTGTTATAGTGTGCAACTAAACGCAAGACACCTTCCTTTCAAAGCCACAGATAAGCGAGCGTTTGTATGATGGGTAACCGATTTTTGGAGCTAAGACATCTCTCAACCTTGGAAGACTGTGCACAATACCGTTCCACCCCTTTTAGTATTTTTTATCAATATGCATTAAATTTTTCAATTTCTAGGTCGAGCAACACCTCTCTGATCAGTAAGTCGATTGTCACCTCAACGGAAACTTCCATTTCCTATCAAATCAATGATCCAATTAACACATAAGGTTATGATTCAGCATCTCCTTCGAGAGGGTCTTGGCTTTCTAACCGAAAAGGAGATAGAGGGTGCCCATGATCTAAGATCATCACTTTCAAATATTGTCGGAGAGACTGCACTCACATCTAAGAAAAATCTGGACACCGCGCGCAGATATCTGACTATTCGCTCCCATTTCAGATAGCGAGTGCTTCGTAGAATTCTCACCACCAAATCGGTAGGCTTCAAAAAATGATGCCTAAACGCCCAGTCATATTTTGTCCAGGGGTCAAGCGTGGGAAGGAAAATCGCAACAAAGACGAAGCGATTTTGGTTCAAGAAAGAGGCGAGAAGGGAGGTTAATCATGGATTAGATATACAGGAGGCTATTCGACCAGTGATGACATATCTATTCTTGAAGGAATCGTCGTGATTGTATGCGCCAATAATCATTACAATTGTGAGGGATCTCGTTGTTTATATCGAGCCAGGAATCCTATATTCATTTTAATGAGTTTGACTAATATGAAGGTAGGAGTACCGAACGAGAGCGGCAAGCAGACCAGGCACGCACAGTAATGCGTACATGCGCGTTGGATTTCTCCAGAGAATGAGTATCGGCATATCTTCATGTCTTCATATCTTTCGTATCCTGGGTTTCAATAACGGTCTTTAGACTAGGAGTCAATCGGAAAACGATGTACCTGAGTCTTCATGGTCTATTGATTCCTGATAAAAATATATATCGATTACTTCATAAATCATCTCTAGCGTTTCTTTGTTTTGTCATGAGATGAAAAATATTGATGAAGTAAATCCACAATTCTTTCTACGAGTTTAACCCTCCCCATAGCATTATCACTAGTTTGCATACGCCCAATTGATACCAGTTAAAATTCGAAATGTTCGCCTTGGATTCAGAGTGCAAATCACGATTTCAAATGATGGATTTTCTTCTTTACAACTAGATTTCCAGGTAGATCTTTCTGTATAGATAGCCGCCTCCTTATATGCGAGCGACCCTTAAAACTATTTAACTTTCGGCACCACTTGGATTAGTTTTGTAGCTTTCGACTTAGCGACGTGTTCATAGCGTCATTGACGTAATCAGTTTTCTAGGTATGCATTAGCCGCGAGATTATCAATGTGAACGACAGTTCTACTTAAATACTATTCTTTTTGTATTATCCTCACATATTTACTATTACGATGCAACCGAATTTCTTTGAATTTGTAAAAAGCCGTAGAAAGGAGCCTGCGCAACTTGTTTGTTGGGGGCAAGTATCATGTCATTGGATCATCATTAATCATACATCAAATTCTAGTGAGGAATACATTATCTCCCTCTAAAATAATTATTTTCCACCCCTTCCTCTGCCCCTCCCTCTTCCACCGCCTCTGCCACGTCTCCCACCCCTCTTGTTGCCACGTGAATTGCCCTCATCGAACCTTTCGTACAACTTTTCTTCCCCAAACGCACAATCTCCCATCCTCAGGTAGCTGATTATTCCCTGATCGTTGACTGCCAAGATAACATTCCTATATCCATGTCTGATTCTATGATACATTTTATTTGGGCCCTCCATGGTTTTTCCTGGTGGATCCCAGGGTGAGCTTTCGAATAATGACACCACCTCCGGTAATGTAGGTACGAAAGTTTCTCTCGCCTCGACAATGGCTATGCGGAAATCTGGAAGACCTGGATTGGTTTTCGCGAATGTAGGAATACTACTGGGTTTCCATATGTGGAAACAAACACGGAATGGGTGAGATGGAGGTTGTGACGATATATCTGGCACTGGAGAAGGTTTGTAGCGGGGTATTATGGCCATTTGGCGATAGATAGAGTCGTAAGATCTGTATAAGCCTGGCTTGACTAGTGGACCATATGGGGATTGTGTGATGTCTTTGGCGAAAAGATCGTAAAGCCAAGTGAACATACCCTTTGACTCTCCGGGTATGGGTCCTTGCTCAAAGGGTTTGGTGGGAACGTTTGGGTCCCAATCTGGACCTCTCATGACGACATATCCATTTCTTTTCAGATTTGCATAGACATTGTATCTTTCCAAACTGATTTTTCCTCTCTCGCCATCCAGACCAATAAGCATAGCATACGCAGCTTGTAAACTCATTGGTGCACCGTCATCTTCGTTTTCCGATTGTCCCGCTTTCTCGCTTTCCCCATCTTCAACTCCATTGTAAGAAGATTTATTCGGCCACCACAAATCCAAATTTCCCCGCTCAACCAAATACAATGCTTCCTCAGGTAATAACCACAAACTGCTCTTGTGTTTCCCTTCGTTTGCTCTGCCAATTGTTCTGAAATGTGGTCCTCTAGGTCCTTCCACTACCACAACATGATCTGGCTCTAAGCCTTTCCTCCATTCCTCTGCCACTAGTTCATCTCTCTCCAGTTCCTTTCCCACTCCCTCTCCGTAGTAAAAAGCCCTCACATGCGCTTTTGGCAGATGAAATCTTGTATAATCCAATGCATCATGCATTGCCTGCCTCGATGCAGCTAACACACCATCTTGTTGTTGTGTACCGTGAGGTTCGAAATCTTTCTCTCCACGTTTAGGAAGTGAGCCTGTCTTTGAGCTGAGGGATGCAAGAAGTCGGAAATCTTGGGTCTCATCACCTTCTTCGTTATCGTCATTTGGTTGATTGTGAAGGGAATTGATGGGCGCATCTTCATCCATATCTGCCATTCTGTCGAGTGAGGTTTGTTCTTGTTATGGTTTGCTCTTGCAATGGTTCGCTGTTTGAGTAGCTGGTGGGATGGTATAGCTGTGTGTAAATTTTATTTTCAGCCTTGCAGAAAGGCTTAATCGGTTCCGACGAAATCCCGATTGATGGTCCATGTACAGAATCTAGTGACCAACCGGATCCATATGATATTGAAAGACGAGCTTTGCCTGCGGCCCCTCGGTACCGAAAGAATAATTTCGCGTCACTAGCACTCCTCTTATTATTTTTCTATACTATAAACATCTTAAAGTATTAAATATCGAAAAATATTATAAAAGCTATAAAAAAATTGTATCATTAGATAGCTTAACATGGTTTATTAGTGCGTGGCCCATATCAGTGGATAGCCCACTTTCACTTCAATTTATACTTTCAAATTCATATTTCTTAACAATCTTTGAATCAATTGATTAAAGCTATTATAAATCTAATAATCTAGAATCTATTATATCATTTTTATAGGTTCTTATATTATAACCTGTCTTTCCATACTTGCTATAATATCGACTAGAGAATATTTTTATATTAGAATTTCCTTCATTTTGATACCTATCGCATCGAATTTGAATATCAACCTTTTATTGAAATAATATATCTACAGCTTCCTATCTAATAAATATTCCTCCTTAACATAATTGGGTTTTTTTTGCACATCGATATTTACTTAATATTTTATTTGCTTTTCGAAGTATATAAATCTCTACACTTAAAAGTGTATTCTCATATATGTCACGGATCGCACCCAATCGCAGCTGCGATCGCTCACGTGCGCGCTTGCGCACGTGCACGATCACGTGTACATAGCTAGTATATAGGAGCGCTCTACGAGCGCTTTGCTCCCGATTCTGTAGTTGTAGATTCTAAGGATAAATTGTACCTTGCTCTCGTAGTTCTTCTAAGGCAAAGTGTTACATTATCTACAACTCACTATACGATCGCATGGCCATCTGGTGGCCGATCAAATAATACCTTATAACCATAATATCTTTTTGGGTATATCGAGGACGTTCGATATTATTTATAGGAAGAGGGCTGATTCTGAGTAAATCTATTTGACAGAAGACAACAAACCCTTAATATATAGAGTTACAAGTATTGTTATTATGTTCGATCTATTTATCTTAAAGGGATTCTATTGTTCTCCCCCTCTCGCCGGCCGAGTGCCCCCAGCCGACGACAGTCAATCTCAATGGAGCGACGGTTACAGTCCTTATGGTTTTAATATAAATATTGGTAGATGTGGAAAGGGTAAACAGCCTGGAAACGACTCCTTGATCGAGGCATTAACTTTTGAGGATAGCATGTTGATACATACTTTCCTGTCACAGGAAGAACAAGTGCCGACCCTTAAAGACTTTGAGGATTTGTGGAACGAAATCGTAAGATTCAAAGATGAATTGCTATAGTGTAGTTTTAGTATCGTTTATTCATTTTAATCTTTAAGATATTGATAGTAATATTATGCAGATTCCCTTGCGAATTGCGGAGTCCGGACTCCTGATGTTCTAGTCGATTTTATTGAGAGGGTATCTCCTATTATCGGGAAAAGGAAGAACAAGAAAAACCTTTGCTTGCGAAGTCAGTTTTCGCGACGATCCTTTCCGAGTATCGATAGCAGACCTCTCTCAAATTTGGTTGCCTTGCTGAGCGACCTACAAATTCACCGAACACCCCACTCTTGTTTATTTATCACTACAGTAGAGTGTTTGTATATTCTGAAGCCTATTAATCTTTTATTCAAACTCAAAGATGGTGTGAAGTTGAAAGTAAGCCTCTGGCAGTTATTGGTTACCGAGCGACTCGAACTTTACGAAAATTCGCTTATCTCGGAAGCGCAACGGCGATTTTATATAGTAGATCAGATGGAAGGAGAGGTATAAGAATATGTGTTCTTGCTGTATATTTAAGTATTTTGCTTGATAGGATAGTAATTGATCGATTAGCTTGCAGCTATTTACAAGAATCTGGCTGAAGCCGATCATGTATGAACTGAGTATGAATACTGGATTATGCTTAATAATATTCAACAAGGAAACTTTCTAATATGGTATTGTAGGTTTAGATTATTAGCTATACAGGCGGAAATCACTGATCCGATAATTCTCCTCTGCGATCTGGAAAAAAAAATATCCGATTTCCTTTGACAAGCTATTGGCTTCTATATTAATAAATACTATACTATCGAGGACCTGGCTATTAAGCTTATTGAGATCGACGAACTTGAAGTTATGCTTCGAAAACGTAATCGTTATAAAACAACTAAAAAGATACCTCTTAGAAAGCCATCTAGTAATACCGATTCGTCAACTACCCCTAGAAGCACTTTCCGTTTATCGGGTAATTCGAATCCATCTACTTAGTTTCACATCCAATATCCTCCTCGCATTCTTATTGGCTATACAGGAACCTTCAAGCTAAATAACACTCCATCTCTAGAAAACAATTTCAATCGTAGTACTACCGCTCCTGTATCGGGAGTAAATCGCAGTTTCACGCTATGTACAGGTAATGTAAATGTTATGGCCGAGATCCAAGAGATTGGAGAAAACAAAGAGTTCTATGATGTAGAAGAGAATGCCGAGGAGGATGTAAACCAAGAAGTGCAAGCGGAAGCTGTCGAGTCTGTTTGTATTGCCGAAGATCAATGTTTAAATCAATACGTTTAGGTAGAAGTTCCCTCTTAAGTGCGATCCGGGATATGAGATTCCTCGATTTGATAAAACTAATGGGAGGTGATTCTATAAACCTACCATATATACTTTCGAAGAACGGATATTTATACAATACTCAATCTCTTATAGATTCCAAAGCGAATAGCTTCACTTTTATCGATAAGATACTCCTTTCATTATTATTCTCTATGTTCAAATCCTACTTTATACTATTCGAATCACTAATTAAAGTCAAAAGCTATAATGATGTATGAAGTGAAGTTATTACTTATTTCACATTTCTTAATTTCATAATTAATGCTCGATAACAATTTTATTTGTCATTTCTTATTACCGATTTGGATTTATATAATATAATCTTAGATTACAAATGATTGGCAAAGACCCGAATTAAAGTCAATTGTTTTAACCAATACCTCAAATAGCTTCTCGAGCATTTTCCTACTATTTCCTTATCAAAAAATATATTTTTAATTAGAGATAGTCTTCAACAATCCAGAATTAGTTACTTGAGACAGAAAAATGCTGATAATCGGAATACCCGATTAGAAGAGATGTACTACCAACTTGACAATAAACAACCAACTATAGTACCGATTGTACCTGAGATATTTATTACCCCTCCCCAAGAAACTAATATAGTAATCCCAAATGCAATCGAAGCTCAGATTCCAGTCAATCTAAAAAAGAAATCTACTTTCGGTCAAATCTCTATTCAGTCTATTTACAAATCCCTTCCACTTTGTATCTCCAACATATTCGATATCTATGTATTCAAGCCAATTCAATTTCAATTTACCTGTAAGAGAAGTAAGGATTATAAGATCTTTATAGTTATATGTATAGAGATTGATAACATCATTTCGATTTATAAATCTAGTTAAGATAACAATTATCGAATTTCAATTACAATTGTTGCCTTAAATAATTCTAAACCAGAAACTATTGCTGCTTTTAATTGTATCATTACAGACATTGAGATGGAATCTTCGATTTCTGAAGTTTATCAACAATATCATTAAGCATTCTCCAAGTGTGAGTCCGATATTTTATCTCTTTTCCGATTATACAATTACAAGATCATATTTGAAAAAAAAGGTGAAAAAGCTTTCAAATACAGTTTTCTATATAAAATATTGCTTGAATAATTTAAGGTTATTAAAGAATACATTATAAAAAACCTTGTCAAAGGATTTATAGAATCCAGCCAAACACCATTCACAACGCCGATTCTTTTCATAAAAAAGCCGAATAGAAGCTTAAGATTCTATATAAACTTTCAACTACTCAATTCTTTAATACACAAAGATAGGTACCCTTTACCTCTCATTAACAAAACATTTGCATGACTTGTTAATACAAAGATGTATATCAAATTAGATATTCAACAAGCATTTCATTGTATCCGTATAAATCCAGCTTTCAAAGAATACACTACCTTCTGTATTCGATATGGTTTCTATAAATGCAAAGTTTTACCTTTTAAACTAACAAACAGCTCTGTGATTTATTAATAATATATAAACAATATTCTATTTGACTATTTAAATAACTTCTATACTACTTATCTTAATGATATTTTTATATATTCTAAAAACGAAAATGAACACAAGGAATATGTCAAGTACATCCTCGAATGACTTGAGTCCACTGACCTCCAGGCAGACCTCAAGAAGTGTGAATTCAATATCAAATGTACAAAGTATTTAGGTTTTATTATCTTTATAGATAATATATAAATCGATCCAGAAAAGATTAAAGTGATTGTTATTTAAACTTATCCTATTATTATAAAAGGTATCCAATTATTCTTAGGTTTTTATAATTTTTATTGCCGATTCATTAAGGATTATAGTATAATAGCAAAATCTCTTCATAAACTTACAAAAGCAAATATCAAATTCCATTTCAACGAAATCTGTCAAATTACATTTGATATACTTAAAAACAGATTTATCTCCACTCCTCTCCTACAGCATTACGATTATATACTACCCTGTATACTGGAAATCGATGTATCCAATAGCGTAATCGCTAATATACTATTTCAGAAGCACAACAACGAATGATTACCAATTGCCTACTTTTCGAAAACGATAGTCGTCGCCGAGCTGAATTACAAAGTTCATAATAAAGAAATACTTGTGATCATCAAATCCCTAGGTTACTGGAAAGCCGAATTTGTCAGATCCCTGTATCAGATTAAAGTGTATACCGATTATAAAGTGTTCGAGTACTTCATATCAACTAAACAACTGAATACTCGACAAATACACTAAACAGAACTA